TTTGAAAAAAAAAAAAGTTTTGTCAAGTTTGGTCATTTAACTTTAACCTAATTTTGAATTAAATCATAAAAAAAGTGAGGATTTTTTCACATAAATATAGACCTTATTATTTTAGGATCAAGTCTAATAGAAATGAATTAAACAACACCACAAACAAAGGATAAATTGAGTTATTTTTTTTTTAAAATGGTTCACAAAATTCACAAAAAAAAAAATTATGAGATTTTCAAAAATTAAAAGAAAAGAATATGATAATTTGTATAGATTTCATGAATGAAAATAGATAGAATGACTCATTAGAGAATTTGTGAAATTTTAAAAACCCATTTGTGATAGAAAACAATTTTTGGGGTTGATGAATATAACATATAGTGTTAGAAAGGCGATAACTCATTTAAATCATATGTTTTATTGATAAAATTTATTTATCTGATTTTTTTATTAGAATATTAAATAAAAACTAAGTACTAAAACACTATTATTAAACTCAATTTCAATTGGTAAGTTAACTCACTAATAAATTTATTCGAGATTTAATTAAAATTAAATTTTAAAATAAATTAGATATAGTTGAAGTAGTTGAATTGATTAGATTTAATTCAATTTGTTTAATTACCCTAATTGATTTTTAAAAAAAATTATACATATTCGATTTTTATTGTATAAAATTACAATCTTTTACTTTTCTTTAAATTTTAAAAAATTAATATTTTAAATTATTCAAAATTAATTTATCAATAAGTTTGCCTAAAAAAATCATTTCCTAATTTTTGCTATTTTTATTTTTATGTTTTAAAAATATTTCTTTAAAATTTTAATTTTTTTAAATTAATATTTTTTTTATTTTTAAATTATTTTTATATATTGATATTAAAAATAATTTTTTAAAAATAAAAAATTACTTTAATATATTTTTAAATAAAAAATATTTTTTTAAAAAAAAACTCAACATGATTATATTTCCGAACACGCTCGCACATGCAATCTGTTATTCTTCCCCAATGAATTTAAATAGAGTGGGACAGACAGGCAAGCATCGATTAAACTCCAACTTCCGGAGCCTGCAGAGAAGAATAGATCTTTTTGTTACACAGATCCCTCTCCCTCTCCCTCTCCCTCTGGTGTTTCTCATCAGTAAGTAAATAAGTAATGGCCGATGAACCTGCTCTCACTCGCTGGTCTTTTCAGGTACCCTCCTCCACCTTCGCTTTCTTCCCGTTTCTATTTAAGTCTACTCTTTTTTTTTTTTTACATAGCTATTTCAGATCAAATTAATTTCAAAGTTGCAAAAATTTGATCTTAAAAAAACTCATTTATTTTTTGTTTATTTAAATTACCAATGTGTGCTCTTAGGATTTTAAAAGATTTTATGACGATAAGTTTGGGAGAAAGAAGGTGGCTGCAGCAACAGCACAAACATCATCGGAGTCGCAGCAAAACGGTCAAACAGCAGCAGTAGCATCAAATGGGAATGGTCATGTCAAGAACCCATCTGATATGGCCGTTTATGAGCAGTATAAAAACCAAGTATGGCTTCTACTTTTCTCTGTCTTTGTTACTTCTTCTTCTTCGCTATTTTTGCAATGTGAAACATGAATTTGTTGTAATTTGATGTCAGGATGGGAGCTCAACATTACACTCCAACGGAGTTTTGCCTAATGGAATTAATGAAATACCGTAAGTGAAGTGTTATTTTGCATGCAAGATAACAGCTTTTTGCTCTGAGAATCCGCTGATTTTTGTTTTTCGTTTTCCAGTCAGAAGCCTTTGATTCCTGCTTTTGATTCTTCTGAAACACGCATTTTAGCAGAGAGTTTATGCAGGTAATTGGCAATCTGAACAGATTTTTGCACCCAATGGATTACCTGTTGAAACTGTTGCTTTGGATAGTTGTTCGATGTCATATTTGTATCGTCCAGGTTCCCGGGGATTTTACATATTGACTTAAATGCTCTGAATGTTTTGACGATGAATATTGATTTATTATGTACAGGGATATCATTCGCGGCAGTCCAAATGTGAAGTGGGAAAGCATTAAGGGGTTAGAGAATGCAAAACGTTTACTGAAAGAAGCTGTAGTCATGCCGATAAATTATCCCAAGTGGGTCATGCTAATATAAACTTGTTTACTTCATTATCTTAACGTTCACATTTATAAATCCCCTTCTTTTATGGTGAATTCGCATATTCCATTAAATGTAGGAAACAAATTTGAGAAGTTTCCTTCTTAAACGTGGAGCATATCTTGACAATTTTGTTGTAAAGGTTTTCTTTTTCCTCTCTGTTTTTGAAGAATGATATAGAAAAGCACCGAGGTCTGAGCTATTGCTAAAGTTACGTCATTCAAAGGCTGACTGGATTATTTAGTTATGAAAAGTTTTCTTTAACATGCTGTAAGATTATGATTTTGATGATCTTGAGAATTAAGGAATTTTGCTGGCCACCTTGAATCATGCTTATGATGCATCTGTTTTAATGTGTCTGCCTGTTGGCAGAGTTCCATCACAGAAATGTGTGTTTGTTAACATTACATCAATGTGCTTTACTGCTATGGTGCTCTTTGCACTCAGATATTGCTTCATTTAGGTCTATGAAGTTTTCTTTTCACGGTTAACCTGATCCCGCCTTTTACAGATACTTCACCGGTCTTCTGTTGCCATGGAAAGGCATTCTTCTTTTTGGCTCTCCAGGGACAGGGAAGGTTTGTGAACATTGTATTTGTTGTTACTAGTGTTATTTTATCTTTTATTTCCGTCATACAATTTTTTCCTATCCCTATAAAGAACTTGTGTCTTGAACATTTTTAGAGATGTGTATGTTTTCTTTATGTTTTTTTTTTATTATTTATTTTTGGTGTGTTGGTGGGTGTCGGGTTGAGATTTTTTTATATGAGGAAGTTAATCAGGTAACTATATTGAAACTTGGATTACTTTTGTAAGATTCTTTTCCCTGTATTCAAAGTTTAGTGTGGGATGTAAACTGTAATGATTTGGGTGCAGCAAAACAAGCCTTCCTTTTCTTCTTTTTTTGGTTGGAAAACTGTGAATGATTGGAAAGAGACTGTCCTTTTCTGTCATTCTCCTGAAAGTTGAGATATCATATTGGATAAAAGTTGGCATTTGGCATGTATGTAGTTGCACCTGTTATTTTCTATGATTGGTATCCTACTGTATTCAGAGCAATTATTTTTATGGCATCAAAAGAATCTAGGAAAGGAATTGGGGATCATTAATTACGTGAACTAAAGTATAATAGTCAATAGCATGCAGGTCTCTTGTTGACTAGAGGCAAAGTGCCCCATATGATAAGGCCAAGAGGTCATGCACGAGAAGCATGTTTTGGATTTCCATTGCATGTACTTTATATGACTGTGCTGCAATGGTGCTCCTCCCTCCCAACCACCATGCAGCCTCCTTATTAACTCATCTTGTTGTATGCTATCACATGTCTATGGAAATGTGTTTGTCAAAAGTTGTCTTTGGAATTGAAATGTTGTATTCTGCCCAATGGTATGTTTAAGAGTTTCTCTCAATGATTATTGGAGAAAAGTTCTAGATTAATAAAAAAAATGGTTTGCAATATCTCGCTGTTTCTTTAGCTTGCTTTCTTCTAGCGAAATTTTTATTGCTATGTAACTTTTGATAACTATGTTTCAGACAATGCTCGCAAATGCTGTTGCTTCAGAGTGCAAAACCACATTTTTCAATATCTCAGCATCTTCAGTGGTTAGCAAATGGCGGGGTATGTTTGGGAACTTTTCTAAGATCATTTTTAGAATATAAAACATATCAAGTACTTTGTATGGAGAAATAAAGCATGGCTGACTTTCTTTTGATGTGATTTGTGATGATATGGGTCTCTAAGCCTAAGAGGATAAATAATATCTATGTTTGAGTGGATGTTATTCTTGCCGTGTTATGCAATACCTGTTTTGTTGAGCAATGTTATTCTTGTCATGTTATGCAATACCTGTTTGGTTGAACAATCTGCTTACCTATTTGGGGTTTTCTGAGTGATGGAAGGATGATCTCTTCTATCATGAATGAATATTTATCGTGATAAATTGTTAGCTATGGGAAATTTTTGGGCTTCAGCATCTTAGGAAATTCAGGCTTATTGTTCAGCAGTTGCATGCCATCTCTATTTCCTAGCAGGTGTCAACTATACCTTAAACAACCATCACCATGTTTTGGATAAGTTATCCTTTGAAGACATTATATGCATTTATTAAAAAATAAGAGATAATCAATACTCCAAATGCTCAAATCATGACTGATTTGAAAGAAGTTAAGGAGTTATTGATACTTCAAGTGGTTTCTAATTAAAATATTATTATTATAAACTCTTGTGTATGGTTTCTAATTAAGATATTACTACTACTACTACTACTACTACTACTACTATTATTGTTGTTATTATTGTTGTTGTATTGTTGTTGTATTGTTGTAATCTATAATTTATATAATTAACCTTAATTAACCTCCCTATGATTTGATACCGGTCTTCCCGGGTTATTTATTACTTCGACACTCCTACACTTAGGAGAAGACATCAATCTTTTAGTCGTGTCATTACATAGGTACCTTCCTATGCTAAATTTTTTAAAGATATGTGCACTGTAAGGAGAAAACTGAATATGAAAAAGAAAGTCTTTTTAGTCGAATAAAAAAGTGTCATTCTTCATAACAATAATAATTTGAAATATAAAGACCCTAGTTGTCTTATAATTTCTTGCTTTATTGGAGAACATAAAATTAAAAAAGCTTTATTTGATCTTGGAGCTAGGGTGAATTTACTTTCATATTTAGTTTTTCAAAGTCTCAATTTATGTGAGTTAAAACCAGCATCTATAATTCTTTTACTTGCCAATAGATCTGTAAAAATGCGTAGGAAAATAGTTGAAGATGTGTTAGCACAAGTCGATCAATTCATTTTTCATATGGATTTTATTGTCTTAAACACACAACTTATTAAAGCATGTAATTCATTTCCTGTTATTTTAGGATGTCTATTTCTTGCAAATTTTAATGTATTAATTAATTGTAGGAATGGACTTAAGAAGTTATCATTTGAAAACATGACATTAGAGATGAATATTTTCAATATTTGCAAACAACCTGGAGATGATAATGATTTACAAGAAGTAGATCATATTAACGAATTAG